GGCCCGGTCAGGTGCCGGCACTCGCCGTCAGGGCCGCCGTGGCAGTGCCAAGGCTGTGCAGGGGTTACCGCCGTGTTCCTTGCAGTGCTTTGGAGCTACTGCAGTTTGATCTGAGCCCCAGTACTGCTGAAAATTAGCGCGTTAGTGCTGCCTCCAAGTGTGTTTTCTCTTCTTTAAATACACTTCTTCACACTAGTCAGTAATGGATGTTCTGCTCCACGTACTGTTTTGGTAACCTAATTCCTTCCAGTTTTGCCTTGGACCTAGTGATTGATGCTTGTAACCTGCATGGTCTGTCACAGCGTTGTTCCAGAAGGGGTTTGACATGTGCCAGCGCTGCTGCAGAAAGCAGCCTCTGACCTGCTGCTGCCTCCCCAGACCCCGTCCTGGGTGGCAGTCTGAAGGCATAGGGGAGAGGGCAGCGGAAAGGTGAAAGAGTGGGGAGAGATTTCGTTCAGCAGCAGGGTTGGCCTGTGCTTGTTGGTGGGCTGCAAGCCTGGTCTCTCCAGGGAAGGTAGTTCAGCAGTGGAATGCTTGGTTTTGCCAGGAAATGTTTTTGTATTTGTTGTTGTGGTGGTTTTTTTCCTTTTCTTTTTTTCTTCCTCTGAATGCATGCTTTGACTTTTGCCTACTCTCGTACTTTCAGCGAAGATATGAGCTGTGCGTGTGGACAATAGAGAGGCAAAGTTTGCAGTTGTGATGAGCTGCTAAAGGAGCTTGTTCTGCCATCCTCAAAGAAAGTTCTGCCTTCCCACAGTGAAGTTTTGTGCTTGTTTTGTGGAGCTGCACATAGCCAGAGGAGTCATTTTGGGGCCTAGGTTATGTGATGTCTTGCGGAGAAGGACCAAGAATATGAGATTTTGTGGAAAGTACTGAACAGTCCACTCACAACACCTGAAGGTGACAAACATGAGAGTAATTGTTACCAGATCTTTGTATGGTGCTTTTCAGCTTTTACCAGACCTGTATTTATGTGCTTCTCTCTATGTAATGAGACTCACTGAAGAACAGATTAAGACCTCAGGTAACAGGAAAACAAAGACACTTTGGCAATAATAAAGCTTCTAAAAAGCACTACATGGAGCAAAAATTTCTTGTCATAAGTGTGGCTACCATGACCCTTGTACTTCTACTATTGGGCTGCTTGAAAATGGTTTGTTAACAGAGAAAACTGTCCTTGGATGTGTTATTTCACAATAGTTTTTTGATAAGCAGCTGATTAAATTTAAGCCAAGATAAAGGGAAGCCCTGTTAACTTCAGATTAGTTCTTGTTTTTCTTTTATTTAGTTTACAGCACTGTAGTTAAACTGTACTGCTAATAGGATTGTTTGTCAACATTGATTTTTGAATTGGATGCTGGTAAACAGGTCAGAGCTGGGAATTTATCTAAAACATCTGGATCACTAATTTGTTTTAAAGTGCGACCTGTTTTCACATACACAGGCATCTAAAAATACAGTAATTTCTTTTCACTTTGGGCAAATCCCTTGTGAAGTATTGTTCCTGCCTGTCATGCAGCATTGTCGTTGATTATGCAATTAAAGCTATTATTATTAATTATTATTAATGTTAGTTTTAGCATTCAGTCCTTGCTTGCCAATTGAGAATACTGGCACATATGACATGGCCTAGGTTTTGTGCACTTCTCAGTTGTGTGGCTTTTTGAAACAAAAAAAAGTTTTCTTGGACTTGGGTTACAGTGGATATATATGTACTTCGCATGTGATACTCCTCATTGCAGAGGCTCATAGGAGTCTTTAGAAAAATTCCAATTTGCTGGTGTGAGGTTAGTGTGTTTCAAAACAGTCAAAACAGTTCTGTTTTGGTTTTTGGTTTTTTTCTTCATTTTTTCTTTGAGAGCGAGCTCTGAATCTTTTGGTGAGAGGCAAAGAGACACTGTGTACTCTGAGAAACTTTTTTCTGACATCGTCTTTCAATCATTCAAATCTCAGTTTCTTTTGAATGAAAAAAAGGATCGTTGTCATTGATTTCAATAACTTTTGACTGGTACAGTGGATAAATCTGTAAATCATTTGTTGTAACAAATAAATAATGTATAACACGCCTAGCATCAAAGCCGGAATAAAGGTGCAAGAGTCTTACCTTTGTATGTGAGGCAAAAATGACAGTCTTCTGTTATGATAGGTAAACTATGGATGCATTTGGTTAACTGTGGTATTAAGTGATTCCGTTGTATCCAAATAATTGGAGGGGTTCTGTCTGACAAATTTGGTTCAGTTTCTTCTTCAAATCTTAAAGACTAACTTTAACCAGGGAAGTATCTTATTCACTTAGAATGTAATTAATTAACTTGAAACATCCCCTCCTTCTTCAAGGTTACATCAAGACATTAAACTTTCTACCTTACAAATGTATTTTTCTATACCAAGCACAAACTCAGCAGCAGACAGTGTTCCCTGATGGCTCTGCTGAGTGCAATTACAAAGAGTAAGCATAGGATTTTTTTTACTTATTTTTTATTTTTGTTCTTGACTGGAGGTTTTGTTTACAACTTATCTGCTTCTTCACTTTTATGTTTTGAACTTATGTGAAACTTTTAACTCCTGTGGGAAATAGTGTTTAACTTTGAACCTTCAAGGTGATTGTGTTGATTTGGTGCGTTTTTCTTCATGCCATTCAGGTTGTTGTAGCTTTTTCTCTGAATTGTGGTCCAGGAGACAAACTGACTTTTTTTTTTTTACTTTTATTTTTTTAAACTAGGTTTGGGTAGAGCGTATGCTCTGGCTTTTGCTGAAAGAGGAGCTTCAGTAGTTGGTAAGTTTTATGTTAATTAACTTGATCTAGACAATAACCTTTGCCTTTTCACATAGCTCACATTCAACAGTCAGTGCCCTTTTAGACAGTAACCTTTGTTATTTTATGGTTTTCTGTCTTATCTTTTGCTATTTAATTTTTGCTTCTAAGCTTTATTTTCTTATGAAACCAGTTGCCCAAGTTTGTCGAAGGGCTTATTTTTGCTGGAAAGCCAATTTGAATCAGATAATTCGCCGGACTTGACTTTAATCCATGCATACCAATCTTTACCGTGAGTTGTGGTCAGAGAGGATGTTGTCTTAGGTGAATACTGTTCAGAAACTTTTAATATGACTGTTTGGAAACATAAATGTGTTATCTACTAGTACCTTCTTCCAGGAAAGAAGTTATTGGAATGTAACGCAGTATCAGTAACCCTCAGAAAACATAGATGTGCTGAAAGTGCATTGTTTCTTTTTGCAGTGTATCACACAGAATAGCTCTCTGGTCTTGATGATGGTGCCAAATAGCTCTCAGTAAAGGATTTTTGGTAGTTTTGTAGTCATTTGATTGAACTTATGCAAAATGCTGTATCACAAGCTGATTCTGAAGGTTAAGTTAGATTCTTGGTCACTCTTTGGCAGTTGGCATCGACATTTGATTGCCTATGAATGAATTTGTACAGGTATTGTTGATGAGTTCAAGGTGACATATTTAAACAGATTATGGATAAGAACTTACTTGCTGATTTTTAGTAGCTTTCTAATAAAAATCCTAATCTCAGTTTACAAAATTTCATAAAAATTGATTGGATTTTTGTTTTTACTTTATTGATTAAATATGAGAAGTCTGTGTAGACAACTTTAAAAAGTCTAGGTATTTTTTTCTGGTAGTTGCCACCTTTAATATTTACCTTATTTGCTAGGAACATGAATACTTCATCTCAAGTTCTTATTTAACAAAAATTAGGTCACTAAAGTAGCCCAAATGTTTAATTGTATTTACTCCCTGTAGCTGGTGGTGGTCTGACTTTGCAGAGTGATCTGAAAGAAAATGTATTGTATTGCCCGATGTTGTGGTTTAGTCCTGGCTGGCAACTGAGCCCCATGCAGCTGCTCACCACCCCCACCCTCCTACCCCCTCCCCCCCCAATGGCGTGGGGGAGAGAATCACAAAGGTAAAAGTGAGAAAACTCATGGGTTGGGATAAAGACAGTTTAATAGGTAAACCAAAAGCAGTGTGTGCAAACGAAGCAACTGTTTCACTCTAGAGATTTGCTTCTGCTGCTCTGCACTGCTTGCTAATAATCCACTCTGAGTATTGGAGGAATTCTTCTCTATGGTTCAGACTATAACTGTCCTCTCTCACAACTAGCTCTTTTGTACTGGATGTTTTCAACTGGAAATTATATGATGTAAAGCTTGAGCTTAAAATAATACTATTTATCTATTTTTTTGTTTAATTACTCTATCACACTCACGGAGTTATTTGATAATTTTCAGAGCCTAGAATAGCTCTGTTCTTTCTTGTGTACTCTTCAACTCTGTTAATGCCTGCCCTCCCCCTAAGGTGCTTTGCTGCCTCTGGAAATTTTCCCAAATATTTAACTAAGCTTTTGGCAGCAAATTAATATTGAAGTGAAGGATAAATATATATAAGCATGTCTTTAGTAGAGAATTGTAATGTCTTAACAAGACTAACTGTTTTTTTTAATATAAATGTTTACCACAAAATTATCTACTTTTCTTTCCCAGGACAGGTTAGAAATCCTAGTGCTGTTCCTGACTCACTTTTCTTTAATATTATGTTGAAGACCTTTGATGTTGCAGACTGAGCAGTCTGCCCATGTTGCCTGTTCTAATGGTACACTTGGAAATTTTCCCTGGCACCTGGATTGTGCTAGTTGCACATTCAAACTGTTAGATATTGTTCTATTTAGCTTGGAGGTTTTGTGTCCTTTCTTTTTTGCTTCAGTCTGTTAACGTACTTCAACATGTCATCATGTTCTGTTTTAATTCTTCCTGCTTCAGGCTAGGTGGTTCTTGGTTTTGGTTTGTTGGTTCGTTGTTTGGTGGGGTTGGTTTTTTTCCTATTTACATGGCTCACTTCTGGGTTTTGGCATTTTCATTTACTCATATAGATTCTCTGCAGTTTCTACATTTCTCTTGAAGTGCTGCACACAAAGGTGAATACAGGATTCTAGATCAGACTTTCTTGGTCTGAGTAATAGACAATGATTTTGTCATGTGCCCTGCAAGCATGTTCCTCTTTACATGGAGACCTTAAAAAAAAAAGGGGGGCGGGGGGGGAAGCACAATATGGGTTTATTTCCTTTTGTAATGATACAGCAGGCTTACTTACAGTTGCTGTTTATCACCAAGACCAGCTAGGCTGTCTTGCATATTTTGTGGATTTCACTATGGCCGACTTCTTGAGAACTTAAAAAAGTTAGAAGGCACAAAGCTGTAGTTCTCCACAACAAAAGACTATTTAGCAAAATACCAATGTTGCACATAAATCCACAGTCAATTCTGATTTTCTTGCAATTTCATTTTGCACCCATTTAAACATACTTCTTACCATTTTTTGAAATTATGTGTACAAATATAATGTGTGTACGGATTTTTTTAAGGATGTTTTTGTTCCCCTGATGAATTCCATGAAACTGGGACATGCAAATACAGGAATGCAGCAAACTGTGGTGATGATACAGGGTAACTACCGTTAATGATGCATGCCCCAGTACAGAGAGCAGCCTGGAAACAAAGCAGGTCTCTGTGTCAAGTGGCCCTCTTATCCTGCAGGAGCAAGATCAGAAGCTCCAGAGCGGGCGCTTCTCCCTTTGCTCAGACTGCTTGATCTGTTCTATAGTGAAGTTTACTGGGAACATTTTAGCTACTCTATTAAACAGGAACAAAGTCTTCTCAGTCTTGTTTACAGTACATGCAGTAGTTATAGCAGTTTGACAAGAGACCAGAATTAATCACCTATGATAGGTATGTAATCTTGATCTTAATCTCTGAACCACAATATCACAATTACAGAGAGAGCCTGGGCAGACCAAGCAAGTTGAATGCATGGTGGAGAGAAAAATAATAAATCTAAATTATACTGTATGTTATACTATTTAAAAAAAAATTAAAAAATAATGTGATGTACTGTTCTTCTCTAACCATGTGGGATTCTCAGTAGGATCCAGATGCAGCAGGTTTTATTAATACTTTTGTAACTTCCATCATGATAATGACATAAAGAGATACCATGAAGTCTGAGTGTTAACAATGAAAAATTCATTTCTTTGTGATGCACAGTGAATGATCTTGGAGGTGATTTCAAGGGATATGGCAAGAGCTCCTCAGCTGCTGACAAAGTTGTCAACGAAATCAGAGCAAAAGGAGGGAAAGCAGTACCCAATTATGGTATGTTATTTTTCCGAACTAGTGTAATGTTTTATCTGTGGAAATACTGGACTTGTTGAACTAAAGGTTGACACTGCTTAATAAACGACTACTGCCAGTTTGCCAACACCATATAAATTAAATAGGTGTAATGTAATGTGGAGTAGGGAGACAGAGACACTAAAAGCAATTGCATAAATTGCCTTTTTAATTAACATTTGTCTACTAATAACCTTTTCTTTCATATGCTTTCTTAACATTGAAATACTAAGAAACTGTCCATCTGTAGTTGTCAGTGGCAAAATGGAAATGGATCATTCTTACTTGTTTTGCTTCTTGTTTTTCTTGCAATGGCAAACATTATGCCATTTAGACTTATTGTGTGGGATTTGCTTTAAGTGACACGCAAACAGTGGCTGAATTTCAATTTATTTTATATTGGGGTTGTACATGATTTATTTTTCTTAGCTTCATGGAATTAGTTGTTAATATTCTGGAAGTGCAGTGTATCCAGTTCATTTTACTTGAAAGTTCATACTTTTTTCTTACAGATTCAGTGGAAGATGGTGAAAAGCTTGTGAAGACAGCACTTGAAGCTTTTGGGAGGATAGGTACAATTGCTTAATTCTTGTTGTAACTTGTTTTCAAGTTCAGAGCCATTATAAACAGTGCAATTAACAACAAATGTATGAAATATAGTGTGACAACAGTGACGCCAACCCTTGATGCCATTAGTCAGTGAAACCTAAATCAGGTGCTTTCTGCTTTAAATCTGAATTTTCTGTCTTTTTGGTACTTTTTAGCAAAAGTTTAAAGCTTAATATATAATTCTTGTTTTCTGCCTTTCAGAATTTTGGTACGTCAGTAATGGTTAACAATTTCTGTTCATCAAATATTATAACTAGCTGCATAAAATTAGATAAATAATGTTGCTGATCACAGCTGTCACAGATGCTGTATCATGTTTTGCAAGCTCTTTTGCCTATGTGAACATCAAAATACCTTAACACAAAAAAACCCCCAAGCTTGACGTATTTTATCTAACATCAAGTAATGTTCCTCTTTACCATATGATTGCCACTGTTTAATAGTGAAGTTATGTGATTTTAACTCAGGGTTAAATGGCTAAAAGTACACATTATCAAAGCCAACAGGAACCAAATTAAATATTTGACAAAAATTTGTTATGATCCACGTTGCTTTAGTGGCTCTGTGACTCTGTGGTTCTTCCAGTTACCATTTGGGCTTACTGCAACAAAGGTGATTGCACAAACACCATAACTGGGAGCACTCTGGAATTCAAAACAAGCTGCAAAACTGTGCAGGATGGCTGCATCCTGCAGGTATTGTGCTCTTAGATAACCAGCACTTCTCAGCTATACGTCCCTGTCAGGCTTTGTTCTGTTGGCAGGCCAAGGCTTGCCTGTACTGAAGCGTTTTGTCTTGTCTTAATTATTGTCCAATGATAGAGTTCCACTATTTGAGACAAGGAGCTATAGAATGCTAATTTGATGTATGTGTGCAGTGTTCTTGTCTATACACATTTTTAGAAGTGGGAGAAGAATAGAAACAAGCTTGTATTTTATCAGTGTATTCACTTAGTTTATTTTCTTTTTTTTCTTTTTTTTTTTTTTTTGCAGATATCGTTATAAACAATGCTGGGTGAGTGAACTTGAAGATTTTTTCCTGATTGTGGGCTGTCACTTTTGTGTAAACACCTGTTTGTCTTTTTGTTTTGTTCTCCTAATAATGCATTTTAGGATCCTGAGAGACCGTTCATTTGTTCGGATCAGTGATGAAGATTGGGGTGAGTTGAAAAACTTTAAAATGTACTTTCCGTGTGAGAGATGAAAGGTACATCCCTCCCATTGGTACTAGGAAGAAGAGAAGGTGGGTAAGGTGGTCTATGCCAGATCAGAGAATTATCTTTTGCCCTGAAAACTTAGTGGTAAGCTGCTGGTGTTCAGCTGCCTTGTTTTCAGCTTGCAACCAGATCTGTGCAGCAGTGCATGGCAGGTGTATGTTGTTCCAAAGGGGAAGAAAGGCTGTAGCTGCCACTCCTAGTTGCTGAGTGGAATACAAACAAGATCCGTGTGAAACACACAATAGTTTATGTGAGCAGAACACATTCCTCGTGCCAGCACTCGCTGACTGAATGCTAAACAGGTTTAAAAGACCCAGAACTAACAGCAGAGGAAGGAAATCTGATGTGCCAAGGGACAGAAGAACAGGGGGACCTTCAGTGAGATGATAGGTGGTGAAAAGCCACTTTTGCAAAGATAGTCTAGCTTCTGTAGTCCTTGTTTGACTGTGCTTAAATGCAGGAATTTTGAATGCTTGTGAATTCTGTACAGGAGAGCCCCATCCAAGAGGCAGAAGAGATGATCAGTGTATGTTCAGGCAAGCACTTCAAAATGGTCAATGAAAAGAAAAAAAAAAACCCACCACTTTTTTAGTAACAGCTTGAGAGTGTGAAGAGAACATGGTTTTTGTCATGAAGAGGAAACAAATGGTGTATTTCAAATTTGGAGATGAAATCCTGGAATTACTAAACTGACATTAATTTGTTCCTAGATATAATTCATAGAATTCATTTGAGGGGATCATTCCTGGTCACCCGAGCTGCGTGGAATCATATGAAAAATCAAAAGTTTGGCAGGTAAAATTTTTTTATCCTTTCAGTTCTGCCCCCCTCTCTGCCTCCCCAGCTGAATGTTTATAGGTTTTTTCCATGTAGATGCAAATATCCCTGACAGGAGCTATAGGGTTATAGAAATGCCATTGCTTTTCATGAGGAGTGGTTAGAAATGTTTGCTAGTTGTATGTTACTGCAAGTCCAAGGCGTTCTTTTCTTGCTTCTTAGTCAAATGACAGGTACATGCAGTTCTACTTGTGGGTCATGGGTTGGTTTTTTTGGGGGGGTTGGGGTTTTTTTGTTTGTTTTTCCCCTTTGGACAAATGTACTTGTCTTTAGAAGTTGCGGGAGTGTTCTTTCTGTACCTGTTAACTGAAAGAGTGCAGTGAATTCAGACCTTTAAGTTTTGTCACTTTTGTTGTTTTTCTGTCAAAACACTGATGTGATTATATTAACCTTAACAACATACCAGTACGTTGAAAGTTGTATGAGCTGTTTTATCATTCTGTGACCAAACTGACATTCATTCTTATCCAGGGAACTTAAGGATAAGGGAAGAGATCAGCAGGCAGAATATACTGCTAAAGCCTAGGAGTTGCATCTGTTTAGGAAAACGCTTCCCTTGGCTCCTTTTCTGTATTTACTCAGATAACAATGGCAGCAAGTGCTTCTGTGGTTTATGTATAGATGTGTGCCATCTGCAAAATGCCTACTTTGTACAGATTTTGTAGCTTTTTTCATCTTGATCTTATTGAGTCAGTACTTGTAACACATCTCTTCATTTAGATTAAAAGCAGTGGATTATTGTCAGTGACACAAATAATAAAAATAGATTTTGAACCCAGCTATGCAGTGTGTTTACAGTAGATTTGAACAGATTCTCATAAGGTTTCTTTTAAAAGTGAAGGCATAGACCCTTTTCTTTTGCATTCCAGTTTATGAGAAGACATTCAGCACAATGTTTTCTTGCCTCAAACCAGCTATGAACTGCAGTGGTTTTAGAGCTTTCTTGTGAGCAGTTCAGTCATCTACACAGCAATAATGCTAGGGGACAGCAAAGGGCAAGACTTTGAAATCTTCTTCATGTGTTTAATGCACATTAGGATTCTTTGAATGTGAATTCTGTAAGAATGCGTCTTCACATATTACCAGTTAGATATTAAGGTGAAGTAATTTTCAATAAAATAATTTTCTTCTGACTGCTGAAGCCATTGGTTAGTTATAAGAGTAACACCACTTGAAGTGCAGTTAGAACATGAAAAGAATATACTTTTCTCTATACCGTACCCCGTTGTCACAGAATGTCTGTTGTAGTTTTGCAGTACAATTCAAAAAGGCTCGTGACTTTGTTAGTTTTCTGCTACTATGACAACACTTCAGGATTTGTCAGATGTTTGCTATCAATCAAACACAAAAAAGGTATCTGTTTGTTAGCACAACCAACAAATAATGTTTTCTTATTTGCACACTTTTGTTTTGTGGAATATGGAGAATGTAATGCCAAGGCTGGAATATGTTGTTGTGTAGAATTAAACAACTTGAAGAAATCATTGAACTTTTTTTTTTTCTGCTCTCACCTAAGAATAATTATGACCTCCTCAGCTGCTGGAATATATGGAAACTTTGGTCAGGCAAACTACAGTGCCGCAAAACTGGGCCTTTTGGGTCTTTCAAACACAATTGCAATTGAAGGCCGGAAGTATAACATCCACTGCAACACAATTGCTCCTACTGCTGGATCCAGAATGACCCAGACTGTCATGCCTCAAGGTGAATCATTTAAGGTCTACACATACTGGTATTTTTTAATGAATTGAAGCACAGCTAACTTTCTTATGTCTTAGAAAATGCAAATCCTTTACACTTGATATACTGCTAATTCATTATTCCTACTGTCTTTTTGTCTCTGAACTGTCAACTTACTTTGTCTGTTGTAAGGAATTCTTATTTTCTGTCATAAGGTAAGAAGGAATTTTGCAATTCACAAAAGCAATTTCGTGTGGCAAGGCTCTTTCATTATAATCTCTTCCAAGATCCTCCTATGGTAGTGGAAAGGCTTGTTTATTTCATCAGATGTGGAATCATGTATGTGCATAAGTTGTCTGCACTTGCTGTAATATTGTCTAATTGCAAAATACCCTTTTTTTGCACAACGTGTCATGTGTGTATCTCTTCATTCCATGATCAGCAAGAGATGATAATGAACTGAGTTGCCTATATTACATTTTTCCTTATTGCACAGTTACTAATCTTTAAATGGTTGAGCAGGTTTTAGGAGAGCACTGCATTGGGAAGTCAGTATAAAGAATATTGGAGACAGCTGCATGTAAAGTCTAAGTTTAGGATAAATAGAGTGGCTAATTACTTTGTCAAATCACCAGAAGAAACAAAAAAAATTTGGAAAAAAAAAGTCTAAAAAGAAATTGCTCTCAGAAAGTCTTCTAGAATCTGCCTATTTTATTTCCCTTCTGCCCTTCTTTTCCCTAGCGATAGGCAGATTTCAAAATCAAGGGAATCAATACATTTTTCAGACTGATTTACAAGATATTGAAGAGTAATATATTTTATACTGTTATGCATGGGTTGAACGCATGATTTTGTTTGACTAATTAAGTTCTGTGTAAAGTATCCTTGTTTAGGTTTAAATAATGCAAGTGATGAGGAAATCTAGTACCTCGATAGGTTGTAGGTTCCAGGGATTTATTGTACTTACAGAAGAGTCAAACACATTAAGGTAGCAGCCATGAGTTCCTGAAGCATAAAGTGGAGATCAGTAGCTGGAATTTCCTGAAGATATTTATACAGAATGATAAAACCACCTCCTAATTTTCTTAGTCATTTTAAGAAGAGCGAGATCCGTTGGTCTCCCTGTAAGTTACAGCTCTGATCATTTATTTCTTACCTTGCTCCCTCCCTCTCTGTCTTCGTAACTGACTAGCAAATTAAAAGAGAAATTGCTCAGGTAGATTTCCATCAGGATTATGTCTAGCTGGCTTGTCCTTGTTTCAGGCTCTTCGTCAGATGGAAATTTAGGAACATACCTGGCTTTGCAGTCTGCACGTTACAGTGCTCCCAACATTTAGACAGTCTATCTGAGAATCAATGCAATTGGATTTGGAGGTATACAAGTGTCTCATGAGTTGTTCATATTTAATTAATCTTCAAATGTTTCATTTCATTTGTCTTTCTTTTCATGGCAGAACACTGTTGGTTAAATTCTCCAAGGCTCTGCTGTTCATCAGAAGGTGTTAGAGTAAGAAAATTTGGTGAAATCATACAGTGTTTCTATTTTATGATTCCCCCTCCAATTTGCTCTAGATCTGGTCGATGCTTTCAAACCAGAGTATGTTGCTCCCTTAGTTGTTTGGCTTTGCCACGAGACCTGTGCGGAGAATGGCAGTCTGTTTGAGGTAATTTTATTTTCCCTTTCTTCCCCCTCTTTCATTCCCTTTGCCCCTTCCTCTGAAATCAATAATTTGCTTTGGTCTGTCCAGTCTTAGCCTTTTTGCTGAAACTGAATTATTGTGCGTGATACTACATACTCAGCATTGACAGAAGAAATGTTGACCCTATTGTGCTATATATGACAGGTTCATCAGGCAGTAACTACGTTGTCAAATTCTGGTGTGTGCTCAAAATACTACTGATCAGATTGTAATAATTCTTATTGTACCTTTATAAGTTTGAATAGGTACCAAAGCAACTACTTCAAAAGAAGTTTGTGTTTTCTAAGTCATTCAAACACAAAAAGCAACTTGCAGGAAGGATGAATGAAGTTATGGAATATATTAGAGGTATATCAAAATGCTAGCTCATAAATTGGATGGAAGCTGTTGTCTTGTTGTTGGAGTTTTATGTTGCTCGCATTCCAGTGCTTAGCTAAACTGTTCAATACAACCAGCAGTAGTTCACAAATTATTATTGAGTTTTTTCTGAAGTATAGTTTTGTTGCCAAACAAACATTGCCAAAACTTTGTTTTGTAACGTGGTAAGCTGATTTTCTTTTTTCTTGGCAGGTGGGAGCTGGATGGATTGGGAAACGTAAGTACTTTGGATTGCAGGATTCATTTTCGTTTTTGAATTGACAAAAGAAGTGTGCAATTCTTCTTTGCAGTTAACCTCTCCTCAAGACATTTTTATTTACGGAGAGATTAGCAAAAGTCCAGGGTTCAGAGGAGACTGCTTATTTTAAGTAAAAGTCACAAATTTTACTACACGTGGGGGAAACTGGCAACTTAGGTATGTTCTTTATTATGCTTTTGAGCTGACTAATAGTAACCAAAAATCTGCCTAAGTAACCTTAACTCTTGGATCCTGAGGGTATAATTGAAGTCAAGAAGAATCTACATTTTTGGTGCTAAGTGTACGTTGCTGCCTTTTCTTGATAACTTCAATTTTTCATGGTATAGAAGTAGCATGTGCTGGTAAACAGGCTGCTTTTTAGTTGCTTCTACCTTTTTACTTCTATAAAAATACTAGTGATATGCATTAACATGTTGAGCCAGTTAGCCTTCTTAATAACCAGTAGCTTTGCTAGATAGGTATTTTCCTTGAGTGACTCCAGTAACAAGCTTAAATATGAACATAAAGAAAACTCGCAGACAATACTGAGGGTTTACAAGATGGAAAACTTGAATATCTTAACTTTTTTCCTGAATATGTTTAACCTAATACCAGCATTATTTTCCTGAACTGTTCAAGGACTCTTCAGCCTAAGTGAATATCACTAGTTCGTTGGAAGTAGGGCCATTAATTCAAGAAGTGGTTCCTCCTTCTTCCAGAACAATTTTTTTCCCACACTTGATACAGATTCTGTGCATTTCTTACTAACTGTAAACGTTCTAGTGGCACTGGAATAGCTTTTCCCAGGTAGTGTATTAAACAGATTAACAAATTGGGGCAGCAGTGTAAAACCTCTTGCTACCCTCCACAGGGAGTTGAGTTTTAATACAGCTGAAAATCTGTGGCTTCTCCTCTCTCATTGAAAGAAAATCCATTTTTCATCATTGTAATAGCTACTGTTGAAGTCTTTAACCACCTGATTTCATTTTGAGGTACCGGTATGGCCTTATTCATTGTCTATTGCTAATTAAGACCAAAACCAACACGACAGATTAGGAACTAGTTGCAATCTGGGAAGTCTGTATCCTTCCAGAACTGATTCACATTAGTCTTAGGAGTTTCTCTCAAGTTACAATATTGAAATACAACTTCAAGGACTGTTTAGACATGCTGGCTACTGTTAATAACATTCTTTCACAGATAACAAGTGTTTTTTCACATTTCCCCTATAGTTTTCCAAGGCTTTCAGAACATTCCTAAGCATTAGTTGTCAAAATCATGTCAGAAAAGAATGTCTGTAGATACATACTAGCTACAGCTTTTCACTAGACGCAATCCTAAAACTACACATAATCCTAAAATATATCCTAATATTTTCAGAGAGCAATCAGTCTGTTGTGGCTTTAATGAAATTTGAAACCAGTGCTATTCCTTTTCTAAATGTTAGTTAAAAGCAGTGAGCCATTTTAGTCCATGTTGAAGTTATACTGGCGAGTTAAATTGGAGTACTTATAACCTTTCCTTTCTTGCACTGTCTTGAAAGTAGTGGCCTAGATGAAAGTGATCTAAAGAAACTGAAAGTTTCTTTGTTTGTTACTTGAACTGTCGGGCTCATGTTTCCCATTAGTGCGCTGGGAGCGATCCTTGGGTGCTATCATCAGAGGAAAGAATCAGCCAATGACGCCTGAAGCAGTGAGAGATAAATGGGAGAAGGTCTGTGACTTTGATAACGCCAGCAAACCCAGAAGTATCCAAGGTAAAGGAAACTTTGATAATGTGGATAGATAGATTGGGCAAGCAAAGCTTAGAAGAGAATGGTTTCTTATCAGACATTTGCTAAAACTTTTATTTCAGAAGTCTGCAGAACCAGTGAATTCTTTTGTAAACGTGTAGCATGAATCATTTACTATTTCAGTCAGATCTTTTTAAGGAAACTTTTGTGTTCTTACCTATAGAATTAAGACTGTTTTATCTTTCTTGTGAGTTACTAGGAAACTGACATCACTGTCATTTTTATGTATTACAGCCAGATTTATGGTAGCGTTTTCTTTGGTTGCACCTACATACAGGTAGTAGCAGTATAATAGATTGTATTTTCTTTTCAGTCCTGGAATCTTGTTTTTTGGCAGACATTTCCGTATCAAAAAGCTCTCTGCTTAAGTCATTTGGTGTAACACAGCAAAGAAGTTCTTCCTTACTGCCTTTTGTTCCTGGGTAACATCACCACCTTGGCTGGTGACCAAGATGACTGTCTCTCCCAATGCTTTCTTTCCTTTTTTAGTTCGTTCCCATTATTTGGGTTTGGTTTTTTTGTTTTGGTTTTTGGTGGGGTTTTTTACCCAAAATTACTGCGATCTTTCCTGCTGCCATACTTGCTTCTCTTTCATCTTTCAAACTTTCTCTTTGTGTCTGTCTTTATTTGGATCCATAGTTGTCATAGTTCATAAATGAACCGTACAGATTAATCTTCCCAACTGCTCTCCAAGATTTCTCAAGATGTTACCTTTAGTTTGTTACTGTGAATACATGTATGTACTGTGAATACAGTGATGGTTGTTTTGTTATTATGCATTTCGTTATTTAGGTCAAAGATTGAGTATTTGTCAGATTAGGAAATAGCAGCGTTTAAGTGTTTGGGGGAGGAGTGAAAGAGGTGTCCTTATGTACAATACGAATTGAATTTCATCATTTCATCAAAGGTACTTAGATATACAGCAGATGTTTAAGCTGTTGGCCCTGAAATCCATTAGGGCATTTTGTTAAAACCTTAGGGATATCTTCTTAGATGCCAAAACCAGAATAGGAGACGCTTTGTCCTTTCCCTCAGATCTTGGCAGAGGAATGTAACCAAGTCATACAGTAGTTCTGTATCACCTTACTGACTGTTTTCACTACTCTTTGGCTTACAGATGTCCCATTTCCAAAAGTTTATAAATGCTCTCTGTCCTGCTGTGGAATGGTATTTACAACAACATCATTCCAGCTTTATTGCTTATGATCAGTTCTCCAGCCTGTCACATGTACTATGTTATTTTTATGGGTTGCAAGAAGAAAAATGTTGTAGCAAAAAAGTTATAGATGGGAATTTCTTTAGAAAGTTGCTTCAACTTTACATGTGATATTTCACATCTGCCTCTTGGTGCTTTCAGGAGACAAAATTTTGGACTTCTGAAGTAAATGTGCTTACAGCAAGTTTTACAGTCAGGAAATTGTAAATATCACATTACCATGAGTCTCCCATGCACTGAACATCCTTGGCTTCTGTTTTGTTATGAACTTAGCCAAAATACAGCATTGTCCTTTCAGTGATATCAAGCTATAGGTACTGCCAGGCTGAATGGAAACTCTTGCATTAATTTGTTGTATATGAGAATCAGCAGAAAGGTTGAAGAAAATTCTGAAGAAGTTAGCTGAATAGAATTTTCAGTTCTATATTAAAAGTTTTTTCTACTACCAAAGTCTCCACTTCATTGCTTGAAGGTATTTAACTGTTAAATAAGGGAAACTAATTGCAGTACTTGCATTAAAAATTAAAGCTACAATGCCTAATATCTGCAAGTTAAAACTCTCCCAAAAGATTTCATTAATTTAATTAATTTGATAGTGTGAAAAACAATTGTGTAGTAACCATTACATATAATTATAAGAAAATACCAATTAGATAAAGTATTTGCTTGTAATATAGTAGAAAATCCCATAATCAGAGATGTTAATCTTGTTTTCATAATTTGGGCATACTGATGAAAGCAGTTTGACTTTATTCCTTCTAGATTGTAAAAAAGTAAGAGCATAATCTGTTCATTGGTTGTTTTTTTGTTTGTTTTTTTAAAGAAAGTTTTTCTTACATGTGTAACAATCATACATAACTGAATACTTGTATTCATGTTGTACTTTTTTTACTTGGAATTTTCTTATTTGCAAGCATGGGGGGAAGTCATTCTCTTAAAGATAAATAAATTAAATGCTCCACATCTAATGTCTGAATGATTATATATTTAGAGCCCTGCCTAGCAAAGCACTCCTATAATGTTTAACTAGGGCACGTTCCTAGTTGTGTATTTTAGCCAAGGTCATTCTGCTGGAGATGCTGAACTTTTGACGACTAAATGGAAGTACTGTCTCATCTTTATGTTTTAGTGGTGGTCTTTTAAGAAATGAAAACATTGAATTTTTTTTCTAAAACCAGTTTAAGTAAAAAGATCCAAATTTTTCTTTCCATCTTTTTCTGACCTTTTTAAGCACTTCTTCAGTTTATAGGCTTAACTCGTTCTCTTGGCATAAAAATCAAGCTAAAAGACTCTTGCTTCTGTACCAGAATATGATTTTATAGGGTTTGTGCAATTTTAATTAATAGGAAATAGCTAATTTTCACTTGATTTGGCAGTTGATGTTAATTCAGTAACTCACTGAAGTTTCTCAGATATGATATGATATGATATATATGATTGCTCAGTAAAGCAATCCTTCTTGGTAGTTACCCTACATCTTACTAGAGGAGCAGCTGCTGATTGTGCAACATTGTCATTTGCCCATACTCCTTCACTTACCCCGAAAGCTGACACGGTGTAACTGACTGTGCTTGCCTTTTCACTTTCCTTTTAATGCCTCAAGTGTCTTTGAATGTTCTCTGTAGTTATTCCCTACGTTTTACAGGCTTAGTCCTTAATGTACTTGGAGAATGTCTGGCAGTTACTCCGTACTCCCACACAATTTCAGGTATAGTCCTGTTAGCAGAAGATACAGTTACTTGTGCATTCGCTGCACAATGTCTTTTTAACAACAGAAAAATCTGAGAACAGACTTTCTTTTTTTTTTTCCCCCAAGAAGCTATGTGAGAACTTAGGCCTTAGAAAATTGAAGAAGTGGAAGACGTAGTTTTGCTGGCCTGTATTCTCTTACATTCCCTTTACGAGGAGTGAGAGGTAACTACTTAAGGCAACATGAAAATGTCACTGCCTCTGAGGCAACAGTGAATCTGCAGTGACATATGTGTTGGAGCATTTTCCTTATTTGTATGATGATATTTTCTTCCTAATGATTAAACTGAAGTAATAGTTTTAGCTTACTTTTTACCACTTCAGAACAAGCTAGAAATCTTTCAAGATAAGCAGGGCATAGTCAGAGCCTTAGGGTTAGGATACAGAATCAACTTACAGTGTACAACAGCAAGTCACTGTAACCAGCTCCCTGTATGCCCTTAGGCAGTAGCAAATGCAGAATGTGACTTGGCTTAACTAGTACTGAGGAAGAATTGCTCAGGCTCTCATTTGCAGCTGGATCTAGTGAGCTGACATATTTGTCATGGTAATGTGATTCCGTGTTTTGATAGACTGAGAGGTCCTGGGCTTCTGGGCCTGTGTGTAAGCAGAAGGAATTAAATGTGATACAGAAGCTTCTGAATGTGTTGTGCATGTGCAGTAGGTCACAGTTCCGCAATGCACTGCATGTTGGCATGCTGTCTCCTTGTATTCCCTCTCAGACAAAGCTAGATCCAGTAGCCCTTGCCTCCACAGTGCACTACTTGCTTTTGGGTCCTAATCCTGTTCTTCCTGTTTTGCAAAGGGAGAAATCAAATTGTGTTGTGAAATAGGTGAAAGACAACCATCCCTATCTTGCAGATTGTATACAACATTCTGTACTATGTATTGCACAGGTTAGTATGTTTAGTTGTTTTGTTATCTAGGAAAAGGTAATTATGTTTGTCAGCCATGTAAAACAATCTCTCTCTCTCTCTCTCTCTGTGTCTTGATTTCCTCCTGGTTGTGAAGATACGAGCCAGATTCAGCTAAATCTAGTACTTTAGAGGTCTGTAATCTGCGCTTATATTCATCTGCATTTTTAATTCTTTTAGAAGCTGTCTAGATTCAGAAAACAACTTGAGTATTCTCACTGGCTGACTTCTGGCACATTCCAGAAGCTTATCTCTGGTATAAACCAAATTAATATTAAACATAGAAGGTGTGTATGTTTGTATGTATACTTTGTGTGTATATAAAGAAAAAATTTTGCATAAGAAGAAAACTGTTCCAGCTTCAATTTCAATTTTCTTCATATCTGTTTAAAAAGGGTTTAAACACTGGTTCTGTTTCCTTCATAGTCAAGGGGTGTGGTTCACATGGAATGTTCCCTCATTAGAAAGTCAGGGAATACTATTGGAAAGGAACAGGCTTTGCCATGACTATTTTAAAACTTTGCTCTTCAGGTTAATCTTTCCCTGCTGTCTGCTAATCATTTGCTCTGTAATAGCAGACCACGCTGGGGTAGTGGACATTTAAGGTTTTAGAGTTCACTGACGGTATAAAAACTTAAAAAATACCCCAAAACCAATCTTAAAAATAATAACATTAATGAAAAAGTTTCTTGCTGGGTTTGTTTCTGATCTTAGAACAACCTTACATAGCTTGTAGAATCATGTATTAAAAAGTATAAATTGTCATAGTAAAGTGTACTGCTGAAATGTTAGATTTCGGACATCCTTGTGTGTTTACATGATTGAAAACTCACCACTCTGTGCTTCCCTCCCCTTTGTACTTAACACAATAATCTAATTTACTCTTTTTTTTTTGAAGGTGTAATGCAGCCTCATGTGAAAGATTCATATCTGGTCAACTGCTGGAATATTACTGTAAATCTAATGCTATACTTGTCCAGTTTCTTATGCCAGGCAGCAGAAAAGCAGTGGAGACTGAAATAAATATGTTGAGACATTTCAGTTGCATGCTGCTCTAGCAGTCCTTGGAAGATAAAAGGAGTTTTTGAGGTTTTTAACTGAAAAAGTTCTGTAACGTAGTAATTTGGGGGCTGGGATTGGGGGAGAGAAGTAAACATTTTTTCCCCTTTATTAAAAAAAAAACACAAAAAAAAGCTTTGCTACCTCTATTTGGTGATACTCTAATAGCTTGCTTAAACTTTTTGGGCACCCCAAAGGGGCAGCATCTTAAAAGTAGCTTTTATATTAAAGGATTAAAACAACCTTGAAACATAAAGCATAACATACACTTTCTGCTGATATCGCTCAAGAAATTTGGGCCTAGAACCATGGACATACCTCATGCAGTTGTTGTCTGTCATGGATATAAAGAAATAAAACCCAGAAGTCGGTGAAAGAACATTCCATCCTTAAAACCAGCTTTTTCTACATATATATGCTTTGAAAATCATATGTGTTACTAAGTGATTCTGGTATGATCCAGGTGAAGTGCTGTTGTTGATTACAAATATAACAGTAGGCTAAAGTTTAAAATGAGGGCTTTGATGTTAAGGGTGAACAACACTACATCTCACATTTTAAAAATGTGGCCAGTTTTGCCTCTGTGCCTGGGAATATCATGTAACACATCCTTCTGTGCTAAGGCACAAGGAGGACAGGGAGGTGATTAGAGACAGCTAGTATGGCTTCCCCCAGGACAAGTCATTCCTGATGGAGCAACTACATCAGAGGACAAGTGAAGAGCTATGGATGCCATCTATCTGGACTTCTGTAAGGTGTTTGACACAGTCCACCACAACATCCTTCTCTCTAAATTGGAGAGACATGGATTTGATGGATGGGCTATTTGGTGGATGAGGAATTGGTTGGATGGTCACATCCAGAGGGTCAACAGCTCAATGTCCAGGTGGAGATTGGTGACAAATGGTGTCCCTTAGGGATCCATACTGGGACCAGTACTGTTTAATATCATCATTAGTGACACAGATGGTAGGATCAAATGCACCCTCAGCAGGTTTGCAGATGACACCAAGCTGAGTGGTGTGGTTGACGTACCCAAGGGACAAGATGCCATCCAGAGGAACTTGAACAAGCTTGAGAAGTGGGCCTGTGCGAACCTCATGAGGTTCAACAAGGCCAAGAGCAAGGTCCTGCACATCAGTCAGGCCAACCCCTGCTATCAATACAGGCTGGGGGATAAAGGATTGAGAGCAGCCCTGAGGAGAAGCACTTGGGGGTACTGGTGAAAGAAAAGCTGGACATGAGCCAGCACTGTGCGCTTGCAGCTCACAAAGCCAACTGTATCTTGGGCTGCATCAAAACCAGTGTGACCAGCAAGTCGAGGGAGGTGATTCTCCCCCTCTACTCTGCTCTCGTGAGACCCCACCTGGAGTACTGCATCCAGGTCAGGGGGCCCCAGTACAGGAGAGACATGGAGCTGTTGGAGCGAGTCCAGAGGAGGCCATGAAGATGATCAGAGCTGGATCACCTCTCCTATGAGGACAGGTTGAGAGGGTTGTGATTGTTCAGCCTGGAGAAGAGAAGGCTCCGGGGAGATCTAATTGTGGCCCTGCAGTACTTAAAGGGGTCTTTTAAGAAAGATGGGGACAGATTTTTTAGTAGGGTCTGTAGGGATAGGGCAAGGGGTTTTAAACTAAAAGAGGGTAGATTCAGACTAGATATAAGGAAGTAATTTTTTACAATGAGAGTGGTGAAACACTGGAAGAGGTTGCCCAGAGAGGTGATGGATTACTCATCCCTGGAAACATTCAAGGTCAGGTTGGATGGGGACTCTGAGCAACCTGATCTAATTGAAGATGCCCCTGCTTGTTGCAGGGGGATTTGACTAGATGACCTTTAAAGGTCCCTTCCAACCCAAACCATTCTATGATGTCCTTAGTGTTCAGCCAGACACTAACCAGCTCACCAATTTGAGAGTCCAGTCATAACATATGTTCTGGAAGAAAGACTCCTTGAAAAGGAGGTTGTAGTATTCTGTACCATTATTGAATTAGAGGTTGCCTTTATACTGTTTGTCTTAACCCTATCATTGCACATAAAATGCATGTTGGTAATCTTTTCATATTTCACCATTAATAATGATAGTTATATTCCTACATGGAAATGGGTTGTGGACATGAAAAGTTGAGGAAACATTCAGTTTTACTTGGAGGTCAAATCTATTTTTTTCCTTGAAGATTTTAAAGCAATGTGAAAGCCTTTCTTTGATTCATGCAAGAAAAGTAGAAACAGTCTGTTACTTCTCCAGCAGCTCAGTATTGCTTTTCCTTCATTCATTTCAAGAATGAAGGCACAAAAGGTATTACCTTTTAAAGGGTTCTTATAAATTACAAATCTCGTTTTGCACATTTTCACATTATGTAAATGTCACAACCTCATATCATGTTATAACAGCACTTGTACCCACAGGTAAAGCTTATCTTTAGCAGAAGTGACAACGCATGTTTGTTTTGTAGATGTTCATGAGGTTCAGGCCACAGATAAAACATTATGATGATTTTGGCACTGAGACTGGGAAACAAGAAATAGTTTAGGAAATCAAGATTCTTGCAAGAGGATACGCAGCTAACTTGCAGGATATTTAGGGAAGTGCTGTGCAATAGAGCAACACTGTTAGTCTGAGCAACAGTGCAAGTCAGTGGGGGTATGGGAGTGCTACAGTGGAGGAGAGTGACAACAAAGTAAAGGTAATTAAATAATGATTTTGTGATCCTCTTATTTAAATACTTTTCTGTGCATGATTCTTACCACTTTTTGTTTGATTCTTTCTAACACGTGAATGTTTAATATTGATTTTAGCCATATTGAGCTTCAAGAAGCAAGCTGTTCTTGATGGCCTGCCTTTACCATAGCTGATTTCTCTATCTCAGCCATGCATCATCTCGCTTATAATCTTGGCATTGTTCAAGCCTCAGGCTTATTCATTTATTCCCATATAATATAAATGACACGGGAAAGAGGGTAACCGCCAGAAGATCAGACCTGTTACTTGTATTGCAAATAATATTCAAGATAAGAAAAGCAGTACTCATTTTCAGATGTTTACTTCTGAGACAGTTGAAACATAATGCTCATTATCTTCTCCGTAACACTGTGGTTCAGGGAATAAAACAAAGTGTTTACTGACATACTCCTCTTGGATGGAATGGTGGTGTATAGCACTAGTTGTGTTTCAGGCACTTGAATTAGATAGGTGTCGTGGTTGACTGCTGGATGCAGAACTGATGGAAAGGGTGTAGAGATTACTTAACGTCAGCTGTTGTGTAGATGCCTGTAAAATGCATCACTATGTTCAATGTGCAGATGTATATTGTGTTTAAAAATGAATTGAGTAGTACCAGGCTATATCTAATTCGCTGTATGTCTGTTGTGCATCTAACTGGAGTGTCTCATAGCTATTTATAAGTGATTTTTTTCAATTCCTTTCTCTAGAGTCTGTAAGCGTATTGAATGATGCTCTAAGTCAGATAGAGTCTCAAGGGAATGTTTCTATGAATTCGACAAGCTCTGGATCAGTGGTCTCTTCATCTGTTGACACAGTAAGTACCTCTGACTACCAGATGCACTTGAAGTTAGCTGAAAACCTTGAGCAGAGGGACTTGTGTTGCTGATCAGCTTTCTACTCTGGCTTGCTGTCTCTAGAAAGAAAGGTGGGTTTTAAACTGTGAAGTGAGGAAGCAGAATAAGAAACATCTCCAGACTCCACTCTTTATTTTTCTTATTGATGATGGGAAAACTTAAGCCTAAATAAACTGAATAATGTAGAATGCAAGTACTTGTAAGTTCTGTAAGCCTCTTTAGTTATGGTCTTGTTTAGAAAAGGGGCAGGGAATGGGTCTTATTGGGCAGTGTAGTTTTGCTCTGGCTCCTTCTCTATAGATAGATAATTTTTACTTATACTGACTTCTAATTTCAGGCAAGCATTGTTGGCCGGGAATTGGCTACCAACGTGTATAAATATACTCACTTAGAGCCTATTCTATATGCCCTTGGTGTGGGAATGTCAACTAAGGATCCAGATCACCTAAAATTTCTCTTTGAAGGAAGTGAAGAGTTCTGCTGTTTACCTAGCTTTGGAGTAATTCCTGCTCAGACTTCGATGTTTGATGGTGTTCCTTCTCTCCCAGGACTAAATATTGATCTTGCAAAGGTATGGAAGAGTTAAGTATCTAGTTTTGTTTGTGCTTTATATAACTATAAGGTATCTTTAATTAGTATGTTTGTAATATTAATAAGTTCCCTTTATTCTAGACAAGGAAAGTTCAGTGTTTTGTATTCTTACATCCTAAGAAATAATTCATTTACTTCATTTGTATAACCTGTGTCTTCCTAAGACAGTATGAATGATCAATTTTTTGTTAAATTTTGTGTTCACTCTGCTTTTATTAAACTACAGAAGTTTAAAACTTTCTCTGAAAATATTTTCTGTTAGGGATGGAATTGGAAAAATAAAACAAAAAAGTTGTGGAGTTTTTTGTTTATTTGTTTGTTCTGAACACTTTCTAAAATAATTGTGTATTTCCTTGCAATTGTGATGGGGAAGCAATAGAATATATTCATTATTGTTACAATGCTGCCTTTCTTTATGTAGATGCTGCATGGTGAGCAATATCTGGAACTGTATAAACCATTACCAACCTCAGGTCAGTCCTTTTGTGTTGCTGATTTGCTTTTAATGAAGACATTTCTTGTAGCCATGTTATAAATGGAAATAGGGAAGCTCTGTTTCCAGCTGGATTTTTTGCCTATCCTTTTTACAAGGGCTGGGGGAGAAGAGAGCCAACCTGTTGCATTATTGAAGGAATTCGGAAACTCAGTGTTCTTGGGATCAGGTGTTGCTTTGCTTTTCTATAGTATACTCAGTAAATTCATGCCTAATCTTTGATATAATAAGCAAATACACTACATGCTGGTGTATTACTCATATAATTGGATACTAACTAGCAGAATTTCAAATTCTTTCTGTACGGTTGTATCACAGAACTTTTGTGATGTTTACCTAAAAGTTCTTCAACATTGGTTGCATCTCTGTGCCTATAAGAGGATAAGATTTAAATTATGTATGTAAAGGAGGAATGGAAATCTTGATGAGGAGGCTAGAAAGCAATTACTTTTCTTCCTGTCAAAATATTCAAGGTACTAGTTACTGCAGTAGCAAGCTCTTTTCATAGGTACTGAAGTAGCAAGCTCTTTTCACAGATGGCTGTGTTTTCCCAGATTACAACACTTGAGAGGTGCTTGTTAGACTCATTCAGGATATGCATGCATGTGTCTGGGTTTCTTAATATTTTTTAAAAATTAACTTTTCCAGGCTGTAGAAGTTGTTTAAAGGAGGAGCTGCTGCCTGAGCATTCACATACCATTCGCGGTGTCGCACACACACACACTTACTTTTGGGCGTGCTTCCTCCTTCTTCAGGCTTGACCCTAGGTTTTCCACAGCAGTGTCTCAGGAGTTGAATTTTATAAAATAATTAATTTAATTTAAAGGTGCAGCAGCAAGACCAACCCAAGCTGGGCGCCTCTGAAGAGCAGGACCATATCGAGTGACTTGAAAGGATTCACAAACTTTGTTTAGCATGTTAGTAGGGATACTTAATAAAAACAAAGGGAGGAGCTCTTGAGGGATATTAGTTGTTTAGTGTGAATAAGTAAGTTTTAATTAGAATAAATTACTTAGGATCATAATATGGGTGATTTGTGCTGTTTGCTTGGCTTTACTTAGCATGAGTGGCTAGATTTGCTGAAGCCTTTAGGCTGCGATAGAGGTATTTTTCTTAGTAGTTTTCCTAGCAGCTGGTACAGTGCTGTGTGTAGTCTTTCAGTATGGGGAAGTATTTTGATATCACACTAATATTTTGGTAATGTTTTTCCCAAGTCTGGGACTCTTCAGTTCTCCATGTTCTGCCAGTGAGGGCAGGGGCACAGGGAGTGTAAACCAGAAGGTAAGGAGGCTCCAACCTTTGGCTGAAACTACAAGTCAAGAAGATAAAATCCTGCCTGCCTGGACACAGAAGAAGAATCGAATTAGATGTTAGAAGACCCCAGACCAAAAATCACCGTTGGACTAAAAGCTACATGAAGGGCGCATGAGGGGCAGGTGTATAGGTCACAAGGGTGTAATTGCCCTGGGATTTCTTTGTTCTGTGTCCCTCTCTTTGGAGGCACCCAGCCTTGGCTGTTCTTGCTGCAGTACCTTTCAATTAAATTAATTACTTTATAAAATCTGATGCCTGAGAGACTGCTGTGGGTAACCTAGGATTGAGCCAGAAGAAGGAGGAAGCACACCCAAGAGTAAGTGTGTGTGTACATGACACCATAAATGGTGTGTGAATGCTGGGGCAGCAGCTACTCCTTTAACAGAAGGGGAAAAAAAAATCTTACAAGCCACAGATAAATGGCATAATTTCTTGTTGAAACAAAAAAGAGTTGTGTGAAAGTTATATTAACTTCAAAGAAGTCTGATAATTAATAATGGTTTGCCAGGGCTTCATAAAGCTTTTTATTTTTCCATTCCATGTGAACATATATGGTTACATATCTCTCTAGAGCAATAACCTCTTTAGAGACAAACTTCACAAACCCACAGGCCCAGGCCCTGAGCTGAGCTTCTCTTCTGTAGAACTGTAGTTATTTCAGCCCTCTTGAAATCTGTGGACAATCCTTAAGCGATTGGAGTGATCTTCGAAGTTAGTGATGTCTTTGAGTCTGAAATGTGATTTCTGTTTCACTCTGAATACGTGAACTATAGCAAGATTCTATTAAAAAAAACCCACAAAAACCCCAAAACTCAGAAAAAAAAAATTCCTCACATCTGCAAACCAAGATTTGCAAAACTTCCCAGACATTTTTATTATAATCATGATGGTTGTGATTACTATGATTATTATTACCATTATTATTGTTGTTAGGAACTGTAAAGAGTGATCTGTGGACTTCATTCCTGAAGCAAAATCTTATATATGAACATGTTCTTTTTTTACAGGGCAGTTAACTTCAGTTTCAACTGTTGCTGATATTCTCGACAAAGGATCAGGAGCAGTCTTGCTTATAGATGGTAAGTTTTATAATTTTTGGAGGGGATGCATTAAAATTTGGCAGGCTCAGTTTTTAACTATCTGTACCAATAACTGCCAGCCTTTCCGCAGTAAAGGCTGTTAGCTTATTAAATCTCAATGAGAGCTGAGAAATGAGCTAATTAGCAATAGCTGTGTAAATGTATAATGTAATTGTTCTTTGACAGTTAATGTACTGAAATAAGAACACTCTCTTTGGAAAAAGATTTCAGAGAAGGTTTGGTTTTTTCCTACATAGGTGGAATAGTGCACTATGAAACTGAACAAAGTTCTTCAGTAATAATACTTAGTCCTATCTGAAGGCAGCCATTTTAGATTCTGCCACTTTTCAGCAAGAAAGTGTATGCATGTGTGCGCGTGTGTTTTGTGGAGTGGTTTTGCAAAGGTTAGTCATATGCGTGTGTTATATAGACTCATCTGCAAAGCATCCATCTTTAATAGCATGTCCTGCATTCTTTTTTTTACATCTACATTATTCTTTTCTAAACAAAAGAAAACAAGCCCCATTGCCGCCTTCTTGTATGCAGGTTAAAGGATCAGAATGTCTCCAGAAGTTGATAAGTTGTCATTTTTAGAATTTTTATATCTTTAGGTGTAGTTATACCAAGGTCCCTTGGGAAATTAGACCACAAGAGTAGGTTAATAGGCAGTAAATCTCTAAATACTCTTGAGATTTTATTCCTTCAGTGTACAGATAAAATTGTAAAAAGGTCTTCACTGTCTCTTTGTTCCTCCTAGCTGTGTTTTGCTTCCATACTTGGCTAACGTTAAGCCTGTATGTTTCTGCAACACACAAAAGTTCTTTCTGTGAGCAGTCTTAGTGGTTTTTAAATTTCTTCTGGAACTGGAACCAAACATTATTAACAATACTGTAAATTTCAGTCTAAAGTGTAAGCGTGTTGAATAGGCATGGACTGGAAATAGGAAGCTGAATCATGATTCAGTATAAGAAGTTTAACTTCTTCAAGAGAAGGAACAGGTGACCTTAAACAAAGCTTGCTCTGAAGCTCTTTTCATACAAGATACTAGTACTGCTTTTTGATATGAATTGGTAATGTGCTTTACACACTGGGGATTCTACAGCTTCTAATATACCGTATTTTATGGCATAGTTCTATCACATTTAAATAAATTGCTAATGCAGTGTGAGATGCTGAAATAAATACTAATTTCAGCACTCTGATTTCAAAATATTTTTAGCACCTTGAATGTCATCATATAGATATAATAGATAAAATAGATAAAATTAATATATAGATAAAATTAATGGTAATGTTATTTGAAACGGATCATTAGTCTTCACTAGACAGGGAGTGCACGCAACATGAAAGTGTGACCATTGTGCCTTCAGTTGTTAAAATGAGCTTTGTCACGCTTGAAGCTGAACTTCCCTCCTGTAACAACACATGCTAGCTATATGAAAAAGGAGATTGAAGACAATATATGACCTTCCTCTTTTGTTGTCTTTCAGTGAATACCTACTGTGGAAAGGACTTAGTGTGTTATAATCAGTTCTCTTTGTTTTTTGTTGGAGCTGGAGGATTTGGTGGAAAACGAACATCAGAAAAGGCGAAGGTAAATTCACACATATTCATATCTAAAAAAACCCTGTAAAAACTTCTCTCAGCACTGCAAGAAAAATATTTGCTATATCAAACAACAAGGATAAAGGCATTTGACCAGTGTGGCAGTACAAACTCAAGTGGAATTTAAATAAAGTTAGGGAGAAAAGTGAATTGCTAAACATGCAACTGATAAGATATTCCTACTGGAATATCCTAATGGAAAACAGAATAGGAGTTTCTTTGGAAAATGTTTAGAATCTAAATTCTGTGGACTCGGAATTAGAAAATTATGTCTGAAGTTAAAATAAAATTGGAATTCATATAAAATGCATGATGATGTAGACAGAATGCTGCTCTGGAAGGTTTGTATTAGATCTTTTAGAAGAGGGTCTTTTGAAGTTGACAGTGTAGCCAACTGTAATCTGACCCAATCTGAACCAATTAATTCCACAGAAGTGGTAAAATCTGCTGCATGTTGTACTTTGAGCTGTGCTAAATTCCTTAAAATCCTATTTCTGTAGGTCAGATGGAAGGTACTATCAATTCAACTGTCCAATTTGGCAAGAGTCTTACTGGCTCTTGGTTTTATGAAACCCAAATGTAATCTTTGCAAACAAAAGAAACTTTACGTGTTTTGGTTTTATGTATTTAGTTACTCCCAATCAAGCTCTCCATAAATGAACCGATGAGGAAAGTTACTAATTTCTTGTTAAAAGCTACCCTGGGAAAGATTTTATTGTCTCAATCTACTTTTGATCTGAAAAATTTTGAGACACCTCTTAGATCAGAGCAAGAACAGAGAAGTGACTTTTATTTGTAAGTCGTCATTTTCTCAAGTAGATTTGGGGAGCTTTACCTCTCTTATATGTAGCTTTAAGAGCAGATCTTTTGGCTGCTCTTATTTGAGCATGGGTAGCAAGGAGAGTGACAAAGAAGTTGATGTTTTAGATACTGTGTCTAGGGGCCTACTACTGAGCTGTTGGCTTGTGCCAATTAGACTCATTACAGAGTCCTGATTTAAACCTGTCTCAGCTCTGCTGTCATGATCACATTTCAGTTTCTGCCTCAGTGCTTACATCTCTAATTGGGAATACGTGATCTGTGTGTCATCAGTCTAGCATTTCAGTGTGTTCTGCTGCTCCACCTCAGAGATTTTCTTCACTGCTGTTTAAGGGGGTGGAGGGGCTATTTATATTTAAAAATAAGTTGATAACTGGTGATAATTTTGTGTGTGCGTATACAGAGAGTGTTCATGTTTATTTTAGTAACTTGTTTTTCATGTGTTAAATTTGTTCTAATAGGTATGATCATATGTTAATATTGCAAGATGTTGCTCTAATAAAAAGACTAGCATAGTAAAAAGCTGAGAAGTACTCAAATGTGTGGTGTTAGGTTTGAACTTGCAATTTCTAGAAGAGATCTCTAGGTGTAGCTCTTTATAAATCTATGTGTTTGCTTGAAAGAGGTTTGGAAAGCATAAAGAGGAAAAGAGAGAAATAGCATTATAGTTTCTCACTTCCAGTGGAGTGGAACTCCTGCATTTTGGGAGAGAGTTAGTAATGACAAACAATGTCACATGAACACATCGTCTGTATGTCCAAATGCATGAGGTAGCTACTCAGGTACCTGACATGTAACTATTGTCTTCTTCAATACTATGTTTAAGAGTAGTGCCAGCTATAACTGAATGTTGTTATTGTGAACTAGAGCCTTGGGGCACTACAGTAGTAATAAACAGTCAGTTGAATAGAGGCTATTTTAAGCTCAGTATTTTTGAAAATTTATAGTGAAATACCTAGGTTTTGTACATCTGTAATATTGTAGGTAATTTTCTTTGGGATTTTTGAATGTAAATGTACAAGTTTTTTGATTTAAATCTGTATCAATTATATAGCAGTTTTCCCATATGTAACTTTACAGATCAAATCATGAAATGTCTGCTGCTTCAAAGAGAAATGGGAAAAGCCTCCATTTAGTACAAAAAATTCACAGAATATTATTTGTGACAGTGTGTAAGGGTCTTCAATTGAACCCTTAATTCTTCTGTAATCAGATTTTATGTAATGCATTAAAAAAAAAAAAAGTGGTTTGAAGGAAATGTTGCTAATCTATAGTGGTGGCATCAGTGAGTCCAGTATAGTGCCTTGGCACTTTTCAGTTAAACATTACACTTCAGGCAACTGCAACTTCTTCACTCTGTTTAGTGAAGTATGAGAATGCTGTATAAATGTTTTTATATTTTAAGACATAAAGAATACCTGTTTCAGGCACCAGTACTTCTTGTGATAGAAGAAAACAAAATGTAGTCCAGTTAAGACAACACAGTGATAGCAAATTCAACAGAAGCCTCTGCATGCAAGAGGCCAGTTTCAAACGATATTTTCCTGCTTTGTTTCTGTGAACCTTCCCAATTAAAAAGACTTTCGTGTCGCTCTGTGCCAAAAAGAAATCCTAAGGTGATCAGGCATACTTTATGTGTCTTTTTGTCACTTTACACATTTATTGTATCTGCAAACTAAGGAGAACACATTTGCAAGTCTAAGATGAGCAACGTGTAAGTCACGTCTCTCTTCTTGTGTTGGGGTTTTCTTGCCTTACTCGCAGAGGGACTTGCTTAATTATTCATATCTTGGCTAGTTTTAACTTCTTAATGGCAGCTCAGATTGAGTTTCCTTAAACCAACTGGAAATAGACTGGCAAGCCTTTCTTGTTTTGAAAGCATGTTAGATGGTGTCCTTGTTACCAAGGTGATTAATGTGTAGGTCTGTTGTGGTTCTCTGAAGTGGCAAAAGCAATATCAAGTCTTCTACCCAAGAGGTAGCTTCGCTCTGCTCTTAACAAACAGGAAAAAGCCTTTGCTGTTATAAGATGTGAAACTACATAGCACTCAGTTTCTTTTGATTTGTCTTTTCTTTGGTAAGGAGCTTACATAAACTAAGTAGAATTACTGCAGGTGAGAGTCAAGTTGCTTCATTTCATTTTAGAGCTTACACCAGTTTCTCTTTATTTGGCCTGTTTTTTGGTTTGTTTTGAAAACCCAAGAAGGAGAGGAGAAAAAATATTTCAGCTACTTTAATAGTTTTGAATTGGTTATGGTGTTCTTAGTGTTTATAATGATCTAGAATGTTCTCTATCAGTCTGTTGATAAAGTTTATTTTTTTCAAAACTGAACAATGAAACTGTAGATTGCACAAGGAACAGCTCTTTTTACAATAACATGAAGGTTAATATGCAGCATGTAATTGCAAAAAACGAAAGAAAAAAAGTGCAAAACAAAAAAAGAGGTGGAAGCTCTTAAAGGCCAAAAGTGATGTAGTCCATGAGTGAGGTAGTTAATTATTTTGTACTCCATTGCACTTACTAAGGTATTATTGTAAACCCTGCATTTTTGTTTGTGTGTTCCAAAACACTAATGTTCTATGAGACAACAATTTTGTCAGAGTAAGTAATTCTTGCTTGAGCTTTTTTGGATTGTTTGGAATAAAAGTAATCAAACTGATCAGCTGTAACATGTAACTGGTAGCCAGATCTGATACCTGAGGATTGCTATCTTTGTAAAGCTAACCTTTGATAAGAGACGTTTTCTGGCCTAAGTATTTGTCTGTAAATGCAGAAAGGGTGGGAGGAACCTTAACACCTTTGTAAATGCTGTTGCTTTTTATACATACCTGACATATTCTGGCATGGGTACGGATAAAAGATTTTTGCAGTGAAATATTAATACCACTATTTTTGCTTTAGGTAACAGTGAATCCACCCAAGAGACCCCCTGATGCTGTAATTTCTGATGTCACAACAGCTGATCAGGTAAAGTTTTATATGCTGTAGGTGTGGATATGTTTGTTTTGCTTGGAGAAAGGAGTCTCATATGATGTTTGCTAATAGTTCAAATTTTCTCATACACATCAGGTATTTGTATATTTGTGTGTGTATATGTATCTATGAATAACATGATGCTAAAATTTGTACTACATTAAGATATGACCTTGTGTTCAATGTACTAAAACATTCTTTTCATAAGTCCGATGCAATTTTATAATCCTTTATTACAAAATTCTGCGTAGGAGGAGCAAGTGAACATTTGTATTCTGTTGTAAGTTTAAAAACAAAGTTTCAAAATCTGTGAAATTTAGACCAAATGGTGCAAGCAAACACATTGTAACTCCCAAAAAAGTGCTTAAAGCTCACTGTTTTGAAAAAGTTACATTTGTGTAGCAGTAGTAGTAGCAGTAGTCAGGGAAACCTGAAATACTGACAGATGTCTGTCCACAATCCCACTGGTTCATAAGCATCTACTTTCCATAGGTAAAAACCTGAGTAAATAAATACATCCTCCTCTGAAGGTAAACACATGAAAATAAGACAGGAAAGTCTGGACCTACCAGTATTAAGACACTGAGTAGTATTTTCAAAAGCAACTTAGTCATGGCAGGAGGCTGTAGGTTTTGGAGATGCAATTAAAATGTTGAGCATCAACTGAACTGTGGTAACTGTGATGTCTACTTAGCCTCTGATTATATATGAGTAATTAAACAAGTCTTATCCAGCTGATTCATGTGCTTGAAGTCCAAGTAAGCCCTACCCACTTAAACCAGGAAAGAGAGTTTAGATCCGTATTTCTGTTTGTATCACTGACATACTTGCTGCATCCCAAAATTAACAGCATTGGTCTAGGAGGTACAGATGTCAAATTCTTCTAAATAAGCTTCATCAAAAGTTGGCAGGGTGAGCAAGGAGCAAGGAACAGTGAGAGAGTACTTTGTTCCTGGGAGGTGGTTAAATGTAGTGGAAGGTGCTCTTCAGCAGCAGTAGAGCACCCTGTAGAGAACCCTAATGGCCCAGCAGTTAAAAGTATTTACTTTGAATGTTGGAACCCTAATTCAGATTATCCTCTGTGTAATTATATTGGAATTGATTCCAGGTCCACCAATTTTCAGATGACATTTATGATCTCATTCATACAGTAATCTTAGTTTCTGAGCCTTAAACTCTTTTGTCTGGAACTGTTATTATGTATAAAATACTAAGTTCATGAAAAAAAGGCAGTTGGTAGTGACCCTATAATGCAGAAGTTGGGAAACTGTGCTACTGCAAAATTGATTTTTGGAAATAAAGGAAGTGGCACAGAGAAGCCACCACACTTGTTTTAAGATCTACTCTGACAGGTAAATATATAAAGAATTCCTCTCCAGTTAGATCTTGCAGGAGCCACAGCCAACGGACTTTGAGAATAGCAAGAAGGCTTATCTGCCAGATTATTCAGTAGCATTTGTGCTTAAGTGATGATGCTTGTATATAGGAGGGGGAATGTGTAGAACTTGGGAACTTTACAGGCAGGAATACAGACTTTCATGTGAAGGACAGCTTGGAGAAATGTTATCAAGATTTTACATTTACATGTCTGTGGAATGACACATAACTGCCTAAAATCTTTTTTGAAAATGGAAGCTGGCACACAAATTGCATCAAAGTTGCTGAATTTTTTTTCTTAGTGTTTAAAGGAGAAAGGTGTTGGCAGGCATGACTGTTGCCACTCAACTATTGAATTAGAGTAAGAGGCAGACTGAAAGAGTCAGTTTGCAGATGGCATTTGAATTAACTTGAACTGTATTAATTTCCAGTGATAATTGTGACATTCACCACTCAGTTTTTGTGTTACCACAATTATGTGACTAAACTGCTCTTCATAACTAGAATTTTTCCCCCTTAAATTTTCATAGCATGATCATATAGTAAACTTCCTGATAAGTAGACCATCATGCATATTTTAAAAAGGTTTACAATGATGACTTCTATCTTTCACTGAAGTCAATGACTGTGGTTATCTTGAAAGTTATATTCAGTTCTAACTACACAGAGTTAATTTTTTTCCAAGAGGAATGTTTTTTACATACTAAGCACTGCTTAGTGAAGAGGATACTGGGAACAGAGGGCTAATAACCATTTTTGCCTTTCACCATGTGTTAGTGGAATGGAGGGTACAGCCACCTAACACCTAATTGTGTTATGTCAGTGACCATTGACAGAACAAACTAATCCTTCTGGTTAGTGGCATCAAAGACTAATAACAGGTAGTATAATAAATATTTATCCCTTTCAAATCTTTACCTGTTCCTGAGAAGTTCTTTAAACACCAACCAGTGCTTATGAATGACTTGCACTACCATGGTGTAAGCTGCTTAAAGATGAAAAATGGTTAAGAAAAATTCAGAAGTATCTGACCTTCTAAAAGGCTTTAAGGCTTAAAATATGCATCGCGCTGAAGAAGGACATAAAATACTTCTTCTGTGTGTTCATGAATTTTTCCACAAAGAACTAGGTGACATTTTTTCCGTCTTGCCTTGTAAAGATATGCATGTGCTGTGGTATTTTTCTAGCTTGTTCTCTCTCCATAACCTGAGCTATGCTTTCCTAGATATACTGCCATAAATCTTTTTAATAAAATAGACCTTTTGACAGAAGATCAAGAAGTCTAGAGGGTATTTGACTATTAGCCATTTAACAAGAAATGAATCATTCAATTTCAGCCCTGTAGGGAATGTTTAATGTAGTTACATAGCTTCAGTATCACCAAGCTACTCTCGTCCTGCTGGTTTTCAAACCAGGGCTTTAAATTAATCAATCAAACAGATTTTGCTGAATGGTTCCTAATGCAATTAAGAACCACAGGCAGTGAATGACTTGTATCTCTGGAGAGTATTGTCTCTAGAGTTTTCATTCCCTTCCCAAATGTGTTGATTTCTTGGTAATTCATTTTCTGATGACACACAAAATAAGCTGCAGTGGGTATTTAAAGTGGAGGATGTCCAAGTGATGTAGGTCACTTTTGAAGAAGGAAACAAATATGGAGTCTTGAGTTTGTTGGGGGCTTTCTGTGTTTTTGTTTTTAAAGGTTTTTTATTTGGTTGTTTGTCTGCTTGTGGAAAAACCCACAGCATTCTGATATTGTGCAGGTTGTGAGATAGCACAGGAAGTCAGTTTTCCTGTGTTAATTGTTGCAAGAAGTTGTATTCTGAGAAGGAGTAATGAGGAGAAAATGAACTCAGGGTTAGGGACTGGTTGGAGCTGCAGTTCTTCGACAATAGATTTTCTTTGCTTTGCCCATAAAATTCTTATGGTCTGTGGGCAACTGTTACCCAGATATCCCAAAGTACTCAGACATAGATGCTCCTTAATCAATGGCTGATAGGAGAGGATGAGACAATGGAATTTGGGAATTGGACTAGCAGAAGGGTATCTGAGCATCACAGGCTGAAATTGAAATTCATACCTCTGTTCTGAACTTGTACAGTGTCCTTCAAAAATGCATCTGGTGGGTTGACCCTAGCTGGAGGCCAGGGTGCCCCCCAAAGCTGCTCTATCGCTGCCCTCCTCAGCTGGGCAGGGGAGAGAAAATACAACAAAAGGATCCTGGGTTGAGATCGGGACAGGGAGAGATCACTCACCAATTACTGTCATGGGCAAAACAGACTACTTGGGGAAATTAATTTATTACCAAGCAAATCAGGGTAATGAGAAATAAAACTAAATCTTAAAACACCTCCCACCACCCCTCCCATCTTCCCAGGCCCAACTTCACTCCCCATTTCTCTTCCTCCACCCCGCTAGTGGCACAGGGGGACGGGGAATGGGGATTGTGGTCAGTTCCTCACACGGCGTCTCTGCTGCTCCTTCCTCCTCAGGGGGAGGACTCCTCACACTCTGCCCCTGCTCCAGTGTGGGGTCCCTCCCACAGGAGACAGTCCTTCAAGAAATTCTCCAATGTGAGTCCTTCCCACGGGCTGCAGTTCTTCACCAACTGCTCCAGCATGGGTCCCTTCCACGGGGTGCAGTCCTTCAGGAACAGACTGCTCCAGCATGGGTCTCCCATGGGGTCACAAGTCCTGCCAGCAAACCTGCTCCATGGTAGGCCTCTATGGGCTGCGGGGGGACAGCCTACCTTTCCATGGTCTTCTCCAGGGGCTGCAGGGGAATCTCTGCTCCAGCACCTGGAGCACCTCCTCCCCCTCCTTCTGCACTGACCTTGGTGTCTGCAGGGCTGTTTCTCTCACATCTTCTCACCTCTCTCTACAGCTGCAATTGCTCTTGGTGTGGTTTTTTTTTCCCCTTCTTAACTCTGTTATCACAGAGGCACTACCACTGTGACTGATGGGCTTGGCCTTGGCCAGTCGTGGGTCTGTCTTGGAGCCGGCTGGCATTGGCTCTGTTGGACGTGGGGGAAGCTTCTAGCAGCTTCTCACAGAAGCCACCCCTGCAGCCCCCTCCGCTAACAAAACCTTGCCACACAAACCCAAAACAATGTGCGCTTTGAAGAATTAGGCCTTCAAATGTTAAACTGGAGAGCTGGAATTGGTTTACACTGCTGACAATTACAGCTTTTTCTACTGTCTTTTCTACTGTCTGTTTCCAGTCTATAAAGTATGTTTATAATTGTTTGAGCATTTTAATTGTACAGGGAGTGTTTAAAGGATTCATGTATAGCATCTGATGGTGATTTTTGACAGTGTGATACAGTGAGCAGCATTAAAGAAAAAGCCAGTTTAGGGAATACGATTCTCTACTCGTTCAGAGATTTTTAGAGATTCAGTAAATTCACATCTACCCTAATCTGATAGGATTTAAAACATATATGCTCTATGTAATGCCTTCTGTTCCAGGTATAGCTCAAGCATTGACTGACAAGGTGTGAAGAAATTGCTGCTTTTTAGTAGCGCTGTTTTTTTCCCCCCCTAATATACAGTTCTTTTCCATTTCCTCTGAAAGAGGACAAAATAATTGGCACCTGCCGTGTTTCAAGTAGTGTCATC